AGAGAAAATGTTTTGAGAATGATGTACAAATGCGCTTTACACAATTGATGTGTGTATGGATTGCGATAAGAGTTGTATGAGCCCCTAATAAAATGTTTTTTAAAAAAAAGCAAACAACTGTCAGCTTAGACAGGTGCCTGCTGTGTTTGGCCCCACAATGAATGGACTCACTCCTAAGCTGATGTTGTTGGCTGGTATTGATTTCATGGGCCTCGCATGCCCTTACACTTCGTTGTGCTCACACCGGACTCGCGCAGGCGCCGGGCGGCAGTTGTGCCAACAGAACCGGTGGCTGGTTTACAATCAGGAGAGGTGTTGTGTCCTCTCACCATACACGTCAATCCGTGTGCTGAGCAAATGACCAGAGATTTACGAAGCATTCAGTCCATCTGGTGGATCCTACGAAGAAGAATTGGAGGAAGGTTTCTTCACAACCTGCGATGTGCAGATGACACGACCTTGCTTGCTGGCAGTGAGGACTCGCATTTGCTGATGAAGATGGATCATTGCAGTGTGAAGCATGGACTGTGACTCGATGTAAAGAAGGTCACAATCCTCCCCGCTGGACCAACAGGTCTCGTCATGACCAATGGAGACAAGGCTGAAGTTGTCCAAGATCTCGTCTTACTTGGATCCACAAACAGTGCTCAGGGAAGCAGCAGTCAAAAGACCAAAGACAAGTTGCAATGGATACATCTGCCACGCCAGACCTCTTCAGCGTGTTGGAAAGCAAGGGTGTTGCTTTGAAGACTAAGGTGCACCTGAGCCAAGGCACCTAGGTATGGTCCATGACCTCATTTGCGTGTGAAAGTTGGATATTGCATAAGGAAGATTGAAGAACTGCCCCGTTGAAATGTGGTGGAGATGAATACTAAGAGTACCCGTGGACTGCCGGAAGGACAAATAAATCTTTCTTGGAAGCAGTACAGCCAGAGAGCTCCTTAGAGGCAAGGGTGGTGAGACTGATGGACGGACACAGTGGCTGCAATGGGCTCAAGCATATGACAATCGTGATGATGACGCAGGACTGGTCAGTTTCATTCATAGGATTGCTATGGGTCAGAACCAACACAACACAAGCCACTTCGCGCTTCGACTTCCGCGGCTTCACTGTATCGCGGTTTTTGCGTAACAGCACCCACTGCCTACACCCGCTCCTTCAGAGGAAAAAGACGGCGACCCACCTGTAGAGTACATCCCTTAAGTCATTTCATAGTCTATTGATTACAGGATTTGTAAGAACTATGTATAATAATACTGTATGTGAAATATGTAATATTGTAAACTAGATGCCATAAATAATAATAAATAATAAATGATAAGTGTAACGTCCAAAATGTTTTACTGTATTTTCCCTTTTTCGTTTAATAAATTGGGTAATACGAGTGTAATGGTGACTAAAGGGTGTTTTTTCATGTCCTCTATGCTCTAACTACGAAAATATTTGATTTACAAATAAGGAATCCTACTTCGCGGAATTTCATTTATCAGGGTAGGGTCTAGAACCGATTAACCGCGATAAACGAGGGTTCACTGTACCTCCTAACAACAATCACATAAGTCCCAGGCGCCAAATGTTCCCCTGGCTCAGATGGCCCATTCTCTTCATGATGGGTGGGCTTTGCCTGTCTCCTTGCACCCTTTGTAGTCTTAGATTGAATGCTGGACATTGTGAATCCTGCCTTGCAGAATGTTAGGGCATTTCTTATTCCTATACATACTTTTAAGACTTGTGCTGGAATTCAGTTAAGTGACCGGGAAGCAGTTTGATGCTTTGGGATCTTGTATTTGAGAGGTGAACTTGGAACAATTCAGGGCTATTCAGTTCTATTCCTTCTCCCTGCCATCGAATCCATGCCGACCCCTAGCCACCCTATGGGACAGGGCAGAACTGCCCCTGTGAGTTTCAGAGACTGTAGCACTTTATGCAAGTAGAGAGCCATGTCTTTCTCCCTGGATCAAACTGTCCCTGACACTTGCCAACCTGCACAAGGCTCAGCACTTCCCAGCCCCATCTGGGCCTCTTGGATGCCTCCTCCTTCAGTCGAAGAGAGGTGATGTTGAGATTCAGACTATTGAACGCCTGGTGTGATGCGGGCGTAGAAGAAAAGTAAGGCTTTCTACTCTCGCAAAGAATCACAGTCTCGGAAACTCATGGGGGGCAGCAGTTCTACCCTGTCCTACAGGGTCGCCATGATCAGAATGACTCAGTGGCAGGGAGTTGGGTTTTATGTATTTTGTGTGTATCTATCGATCGATCTATCTATAGAGCACTCATAGTAGTCTGCGACTCACGGCAGTGGATGGATGGAGGGCCCTGCTGGACTGTGGGGAGGTCTGGACACCTCCAGGGGGGACCAAGGTGGCAGGTACACAGAGGTATTACTACCAGCCATCATGGAAGAATTGAAATTTCTGATCTATATAGCTGTGCTGTGCTGGTGCTGCCTCCCTGAAAACATGACCCACCCCCACCTCCGCTCCCGAGACCCTCAACTGGTGCTGAAACAAGGGTTTATTTGAGTCTGAAGGAGAAGTGAAAAGTCAAGTGAAACAGAGAAAAGGCTTGGGATGGGGGCCAGTTGCTGCCATTCCCGAGGATGCTGCGGGAGGTGGGAAGGAGGGGTGAGGAGGGGTGGGTCTGGTGGGGGGCGGACGGGTCAGCAACTCAGGTCTGGGCCTTCTTTTCCAAGGCCCGATCGGACGGGCCTGTGCTCTTCTCTCCTGGCTTATAGCTGGACTTGGAGGGCTGTTGCCGCAGGCTGGTGCCACCGGAGATATAGCTGTAGTAGGAGTCAGAGGCGATGATGTTGTGGATCTTCCAGCGCAAGTCGACGTAGCCCTTGACCATCAGGGGCCACAGGAAACACATGGTGAGGTAGAGGACCACCAGGCCTACTGAGATACTGGCCGACACCTGCAGGCAGTACCCGGCGGGGAGAGGGAGGGTAAGTCAGTTGTCGGTGGCCCCTCAGCGGCCCAAGAGGACAGACAGCACCCACCGAGACAGCCGCTCACCAGGAGGAAGTGGAAGTACCGCTCGGGGCTGAGCGGAATCCCATGGATGTGCAGCAGGAAGATGAGCTGGTAGTCGCAGTAAGTGCTTTTGTCCACCCCTCTGGTGGCAGGGGAAGGGGTGGATGGTTAGCGGGGCAGCAGGATACCCCAGGAGAAGCTCCCAGCTCCCCCACCCAGGGCTCACCTGCTAGGCTCACCTATTGCTCACCAACACCTTGAAGAAGTATTCCGGGGCGAATATGCCCTCAGGGACCGTGCCGTAGCAGGGGGAGTCCGGCAGACACAGCCACCTGTGGGAGTGGCCTGGTGAGGGGCCGGGGCCAGGTACGTCTGCTGTGAACTATGCCTAGTGTAGGCGGCCCCCTGCCTGCCACCAACTCTGCAGGGACTCCGCCTAGGTAGGTGCACCCGAGTCCTGTTGTGTGTGTGCATGTGCATCCCGAAAGGCGCCTGTTCAGTGCCAGGGCTCCTTTTAACCCTCGCTGGCTTGCTCCTTTGAGCAAGGTTGCTCCTACAGCGGTACAACCATCACCGTTTCCTCTCCCCTCTTCCTGCAGCAGGGCTGAGTAGCCTTCATTTGCTGACGTCAGCCTTTGTTGGTTTTCTCACCTTGGATTCCGTGGCTGGATCCAAACTAAAGAGGAGCCACAGTGTGCCTGCCCTTAGCAGCGCTAGTGGCACGGTGATTAAAGAGTTTGGGCTGTTACCCGAGAGTTTTGGCGGTTCAAATCCACCAGGCTGCTCTGAGGCTGAGAGATAGGGGCGCGTCTGCTCCCAGACAGGTTTAGGGCCTGAGAAAGCAAGGCCGAGGAAAAGATTCCGTTCTGCCCCCATGGCGTCACTGGGAGGTGGAATCCACTCAGCGGAAGGCAGTGGGCTTGGTGTGGGGAATCTCATACTACTCTGTCCCACAGGTGTGTGTGCTGATCATTCATTCTTTCCTAGCCACCCCTGTGGCCACAGAGTCAATCCCACCGCCTGGCTGTCCGGGTCAGAGTGGAGCTGCCCCTGCGGGTTTTCCTGGCTGTGATCTGTACGGGAGGAGGTGGCTAGCCCTTCCTTCCACGCCCGCCCGCAGTGGGTAGGTTGGGCCTGCCAACCTTTAGAGGTGACTGAGCAAATCACTCAGGAAGCTTCCCCATCAGTGTCTCCACGACAACGCCACTAAATGACGTAGAGGCCACACGCATGCATCCCTAGCTCAACACGCGCTGTGCTGAGCGCATTCAGAACCTGAGCTTGTGGGGTAGGCAGGCCCCCCGAAGAGGCATGACAGCCTCCCTGGAGCGGCCGGTGGCGAAGAGGGGTGGTGTAGGCAAAGGGCTGCCCCACCCTGGAGAAACTGAGGCCCGAAGGAAGAGGTACAGGGGCGAGCAGCAGGAGGACCAGACGCGGATCCCTCTTTTGTACAGCCCAACCCACGCACGCCTCACCCACCGCGCAGGCGTGGCTTGAGGAGCGAAACGCTGCGCACTCACACGATGCCCACGCCCTTGGACAAGACGTTGGTGAAGTCTGCCGTGACGTCTCTGTACAATGACCTGTTTTTCTTGATCCAGATGAGGCTGGTTGAACTGTGTACAAATGGGGCACCCTATCAGTGAGGACCCGCCTCCTGCTCCTGGACGACCCGGGTTGGGGGTTGGTGGTGGTCTTGGGCGGAGCCTGGGTGGTGGGTGGGGCCTGGGATCCCTGAGGCCGGCGGGGATTTACAAGGTGGGGAGGGGTGGGGGGGGATGGGGAGGAGGGCCGCGTGGGCGGGGCCCCAGAGGGATTACTCTTCCAGCGGGGTGTTGTAGCGGTAGATTTCTCTCCCAGTGTAGTCCTCGATGGTGTCGTAGGTGGGCCCTCCGCCTATCACCTTCAGTGTGTAGCTGCCGGAGGCGGTGGTGTTCTAGAACCGGCAGGTAAGCCCCAGGGGCTCCCCACTCCCCCACCCGCGCCCTGCCACCTCACCAAGACGGGCCTGCTACTTACTCGCCCTCAAAACTGCCGGATTCTCCAGTGACCAAATCTTGGACCAAGAAGAAGGGGTAGAAGACTGGCAGTGGAAGGGGTTCAGAGAGGCGGTGGAGAAGTTAGTGGGGGACTGGGCACCCAGGGAGGAGAAGGAGCAGAGACTGGGAAAGCAGAGGAGGGCAGGAAGGATGGGTGGTGGGAAGGGGCGGGGCAGAGGGGAAAAGGCTAGTGAGGCGACCAAGAAGAAGGGGGGGCGGGGAGGGAAGGCCCAGCTGAACAGGGCAGTGGTCGCGCGCGCACCGTCACGGAAGTGGAAGCAGGGCATCTCGGGGTCCACTTTCAAGCAGTCGAAGTATTGTTTGTTTTTTAGGAGGGCGTAGGACAGCGTGTAGGTGATGTCGAAGGCCAGGCGCTTGCCCGGAGGGCAGCCGATAAGTATGGGCATCATCAGGTTGCCCTGAGGGGGAAGAGACAAGCCTTGAGGTGGGGGGGGGGGAGCGTTCTCTTCCCTAAAAGCCCAACCCCTAAGCCCCCTCAGAGCCACCCTCTGGGACAGGATAAGGAGACCTAGTGGCCTCAAGAGTTATGGGTTGGGCTGCGAATGATGGGCTTTCTGCTCGCGTCGAGTTACAGTCGCAAAAACTCACAGGGTCGCTGTGAGTCGGCGTCCACTCCATGGCAGTGAGTTTCGATTTGGTTTTCATATGTATATACTGCTATAGACAGTTGATTCTGACTCCCGGTGACCCGTGTGTATGCGGGGGGGCGGGGGGGGGGGTGCGGGGAGGGGCGGCTTCCGGGTGGGTTCCCACCTTTTCAGTAGCTGAGCACCTAACCCAGTGGTTCTCAACCCTCCTATTGCCGCGACCCTTTCATACAATAAAATTATTTTCGTTGCTACTTCATCACTGTCATTTTGCTACTGTGACGAATCAGAGGACCCCTGTGAAAGGACCGTTCGACAGGCCCCCCCCTGGGGTCGCAACCCACAGGTTGAGAACCGCTGACCTAACCACTTGCGCCAAGCCAGGGAACAGGACAGGGCTCCAGAAAGTTCATGGGCTAAATCCCATTGGCTTCCAATTCCATTTTCCCACGAACTTTTGGAAGCTCCCTCCCACGGATGCATAAAGAGGAAGACTCTGACCTCCATCCTCCACTGTCCCCCCAGTGCAAGGAACTAGGGTTACACGTCCTTGTTTTCAAAGAAACGCAAACAGAACCTCTGATCTGGTTGCCTCTGAACCACCAGAAAGTGGAAGGCGATCTGCATTCCACGTGCAGGTGCGGCCATGACTGGACAGAGGCACAAATGCCCTGCCTTTCGGTCCATCCCGCCTCTAGCGACCAGGGAAAGCCAGTCGGACCCCCCTGCAGGTGTCCAAGGTTGCAAATCTTTACAAGAGTAGAAAGCCTTGTCGGTCTCCCTCCCTGAAGACAGGAAGGGCTGAATGGAGTGGGGAGGGTGCGGGAATGAAGAAA